TTTAAAAATGGGCAAAGGATATGAACAGGCATTTCACCAAAGAAGACATTCAGGCAGCTAACAGATACATGAGGAAATGCTCATGATCATTAGCCATTAGAGAAATGCAAATCAAAACTACCGTGAGATACCATCTCACCCCAACAAGGCTAGCATTAATCCAAAAAACACAAAATAATTAATGTTGGAGAGGTTGTGGAGAGACTGAAACACTTATACAGTGTTGGTGGGAATGTAAGATGGTACAACCACTTTGGAAATCGATTTGGCGTGCTTCCTTAAAAAACTAGAAATAGAAGTACCATAGATCTAGCAGTCCCACTCCTTGGAATATATTCTCGTGAAATAAGAGCCATCACACAAATAGATATATGCGCACCCATGTTCATTGCAGCACTGTTCACGATAGCAAAAAGATGGAAACAACCTAGATGCCCATCAACAGACGAATGGCTAAACAAATTACGGTACATTCACACAGTGGAATACTACACAGCGATAAAGAACAACAATGAAGCTGTGAAACATAACATGGATGAATCGGGAAGTTATTATGCTGAATGAAATTAGTCACAAAAGGACAAATATTGTATGAGACCGCTATTATAAGAACTCAAGAAAAGGTTTAAACACAGAAGAAAACATTCTTTGATGGTTCTGAGGGTGGGGAGGGAGGAAGAGGGGTATTCACTAACTAGATAGTGGATAAGAAATTATCTTAGGTGAAGGGAAGGACAACACACACTACAGGAGAGGTCAGCACAACTGGACTAAACCAAAAGTTAAGAAGTTTCCTGAATACAGCCAAACACTTCAAGGGACAGACTAGCAGGAGCAGGGGTCTGGGGACCATGGTTTCAGGGGCCATCTAGGTTAACTGGCGTAACAAAGTTTTTTAAGAAAATATTCTGCATCCCATCTTGGTGAGTGCCGTCCGAGGTCTTAAAAGTTAGCCATCTAAGAAGTATCAATCCAACCTACCTGGAGCAAAAGAGAATGAAGAACACCAAAGGTACAAGGAAAATATTAGCCCAAGAGACATAACGGCCACATAAACCAGAGACTGCATCAGCCTGAGACCAGAAGAACTAGATGGTGCCTGGCTGCCACCAATTACTGAATTGACAAGTCACACAACAGAGAGTCCCTGATGGAGCAGGAGATAAGTGGAGTGCAGAACTCAAATTCTAGTAAAAAGACCAGACTTAAGGGTCTGACTGAGACTGGAGTGACCCCGGAAGACATGGCCCCCAGACTGTCTGTTAGCCCAGAACTGAAACCATTCCCGAAGCCAACTCTTCAGACAAAGGTTAGACTGGAGTATAAGACATAAAGTGATACTCATGAAGAGAGTGCTTCTTAGCTCAAGTAGATATATGAGACTAAATGGGCAGCTCCTGTCTGGAGTTGAGATGAGAAGGCAAAAAGAGACAGGAGCTGGTTGAATGGACATGGGAAATCTGGGGTGGAAAGGAGGAGTGTGCTGTCACATTATATGGAGAGCAACTAGGATCACATAACAATGTGTGTATAAATTTTTGTATGAGAAACTAACTTGAACTGTAAACTTTCACTTAAAGCACAGTTTAAAAGAAAAAGGATGATAACACATTGTCATGAAGTCAATTCCGACTCATAGTGACCCTATAGGACAGAGTAGAACTGCCCTGTAGGCTTTCCAAGGTTGTAAATCTTTACAGGAGTAGACTGTCACATATTTCTCCCATGGAGTGGCTTGTGGGTTTGAACCATTGACCTTTCAGTTAGCAGCTGAGTGCTTAACCACTGCACCCCAAGAGCTCAAAACCCATTGCCTTAAAGTCAGTGCCAATTCATAGCAATCTTATAGGATAGGGTAGAACTGCCTCTTAGAATTCCCAAGGCTGTTATCTTTACAGAAGCAGACTACCACATCTTTCTCCCACGGAGCATCTGGTGGGTTTGAACCACAGACCTTTGGGTTAGCAGCCAAGTGCTTAACCACTGTGCCACCAAGGCTCCTTAAAATGATAAGGTAGTATTATTACCACCATTATATTGACAAACTGAGACTCAGAAAAGTTAGACTAATTTGCCCAAAGTAATCCAATTTGAAAGTGGTAAAGCTGGGATTTGAGCCAAGAATACCTGACTTCACAGTCTTTGCTCTTTAACTATCATACTATATACTGCCTTTCAAAATTAAAGTAAGTATAATAGAAGCTAACAAAAAGAAAAATATCTAGCTTTTAGTGACCAGACAAACAGACCAGAAACAATGATAGTTCATGCGAAAAATCAGTCTCACCTAAAAATAGGATGGTACTTTGGAGAGTCCTTTGGTGTAGTCATAAAAGCAAACTCAAGTATTGTATAATAGCAGATGACAGCAGGCAATGGCACATTCCATTCCTCCTAATAAGGAAGAACAAGCATAGTCCCATGGAAGAACCTTGAAGAGTCACAGCAACTGCAGTGGCACATTAGGTAGCTTCGGCAACAAAAATTTTTGTTTTTACAACTATTATTTTAGTTACCTTTAACTGCTTATAATAATGCTTTTCATAGGTGTGTGTCTGTTTATATTATTATTTCCATGAACAGTTAAAACAAAAAAAACCTCTCAAAATAGTGATTAATAGATAGGCAGGGTTCGATATGAACATTGAGCACATGAGAGAAGTCTTTGGCTTCCTTCATCACTCCCACTCCCAAATGCTTTCTCCCTGGTCATTCTGCTATTACTGTTGGCAACAAGATATTGCCAAAGATCTGGCCCTCCCTCCTGCTGCCCACATCCCTGAGTTTACCTCAGCTGCAAGGGCTACTGCAGGACAGTCGCAGCTTACTCTGAAAAATCTTGTCCTTGAACTTAGGATGAGTTTTCTAGCAAGTGTTTTCTACACACAGGCTTTTGTGACCAAACCACCATTGTTTCTGTAGGAAGATGTTTTTTTTTTTCTCTCCCTAATTCCAGATTCAATTTATAAATTACTTCCTAATGTTTATCTCTTGACAAATTTGTCCATTATAATCTCCAGGAAAACTACTGAAAATTACCGTATTGTTGCCACGAAGTGGTTTGATCTCTTTTTAAGCATAAAACTACTCAGCAAGAACAGTCAGATTTTTAAAATTTTAATTCTGTAGAATGGCCAGGAAAGTGTCAAGAAGTATATAGATGTTGAGGGCTGGGGGGACCATAGTCTCGGGGAACATCTAGCTCAATTGGCATAACATAGTTTATAAAGAAAATGTTCTACATTCTACTTTGGTGAGTAGCGTCTGGGGTCTTAAAAGCCTGTTAGTGGCCATCTAAGATACTCCACTGGTCTCACCCCCTCGGGAACAGGGGAGAATGAAGAAAACTAAAGACACAAGGGAAAGATTAGTCCAAAGGACTAATGGACCACAACTACCACAGCCTCCACCAGACTAAGTCCAGTACAATTAGATGGTGCTCGGCTACCACCAGTGACTGCTCTGACAGGGATCACAATAGAGGGTCCCAGACAGAGCTGGAGAAAAATGTAAAACAAAATTCTAACTCACAAAAAAAGACCAGACTTAGGCCTGACAGAGACTGGAGAAATCCCAAGAGTATGACCCCCGGACACCCTTTTAGCTCAGTAATGAAGTCACTCCTGAGGTTCACCCTTTAGCCAATGATTAGGCAGACCCATAAAACAAAACGAGACTAAAGGGGCACATCAGCCCAGGGACAAGGACTAGAAGGTGGGAGGGGACAGGAAAGCTGATAATAGGGAACCCAGGTTCGAGAAGGGAGAGTGTTGACATGTCATGGGGTTGTTAACCAATGTCATAACACAATATGTGTACCAACTGTTTAATGAGAAGCTAGTTTGTTCTGTAAACCTTCATCTAAAGTACAATTAAAAAAAAAAAGTACATAGATGCATACTACTCTCATGGCTCTTCCAGCCTTATGTGTTTATTTGTCAACTTGAAGGCAGAGATCATGTCTGCCATATACTTCCAGTATCTGACAGTCTTGGCACATGTTAGGAGACAGATAAAACTAGGGAAAAAATAAGCGGGGAGACTTTGATAGTAGTATTGCTCTCTTGGGATCTTTTAGATCAGTAGGCTCCAAAGTGGTGTTCGTATGCAAGATGAGCCCTTGAGATATAGGTATAAAATATTAGAATGTCTAGTTATATTTTTATTTCATTTAAAATTTCTGTTTTGTGTGTTTATATTTTATAATGACCATAGTATTTTTTTAAAATACTTTAATACTTTATAAGTAAATAAATACACAAAGATATACACTCAGATCTTTTATTGTGGGAATCCCCATCAAACAGGAGACCTTTTCTTTAGCTCACGGTCACGAAACAGCTGTAAAAGCTGGGCTGTAGGAGGTGTCCCACCTGTAACTGTGGATGGAATGGACCTCCCAGATCAGATTAGTCCAGACCTGAAGAGTCCTTCTCACTCTGTTGAGTGTAACATGATTCTGAGTAAGGCAGAATTAGCACTACCTATCAGCAGCTCTGCAGCCCTGGTTGCACAGTGGTTAAGCGCTCGGCTGCTAACCAAAAGGTTGGCAGTTCGGTTCCACCATCCACACCTTGGGAGCTCTATGGGGCAGTTCTGCTCTGTTCTATAGGGTCGCTATGAGTGGGAATCGACTCGATGGTAATGGGTTTTTTTGTTCTCAGCAGTTCTGGTTGTGCAGCTGTTCAGCACTTGGCTGCTAACTGAAAGGTCAACACTTCGAATCACCACCTGCTGTGCAGGAGAAAGATATGGCAGTCTGCTTCTGTAAAGATTTCAGGCTTGGAAACCCTATGGGCAGTTGTGTTCTGTCCTATAGGGTTGCTGTGAGTCGGAATTGACTCAACGGCAATGGATATCAGCAATTCTGTTATACAGAAGGTCACCATGAGTTGGAGCCGACTCAAAGGCAGCTAATGACAACATCAGCAGTTGTTTGTTATAAACCACATGTTAGTAACTTGGTCATTTTTATTAACCAATTTAATATTTATATTTAGATACAAGAAAGATGGCTGCAAGATAACCTTACTTTAAGAAAAAGAAATGAGGAACTAAAAGAAGTTGAAGAAGAAAGAAAACAACATTTGAAGGAAATGGGACAAATGCAGGTTTTGCAAATGAAAAAGTATGTTTTTTAAAATAGATATTAGTTTATATAAAGGTCTTTTTTATTGAAATGTGAAGACTATTAAGTACATGTTTTTTAAAAAGATTTCAGCTTTGTATCATGGAGACTTACAGGAAAGTGGACAGTTTTTATACAAATATATTTCATGACCTTAAGAACTGAATTACTGAATAAGTGATATAGAATTGACATTCACACTGTGGTGGTGGGCACTAGTCATTGAGTATTAAACATACCAAGTCCCCAGACTTCTGCTAGCTTGCTTCACAGGGTAGTGGTACGAAGTATACAGAATATATGCCCATTCACCCTGTCTGGGTCAGAGCTTGTGCATTTATAATATTGCCAGTGTAATTATTGGCAGAGCAGTTTGTCAATGGAGACCCCGTCTAGATTGTCCCAGTTGTAATTATGTGCCCACCAGATTATTTTTCTGAAAGATTAGCCTGATTCTTCCTTCATCTGGTTTTGTTGGTACTTAACTGTAGTTGCTACCTTCCTGATACAGCAGGAAAGATCTTGTTCCTGCCTCGTCTACCTTTGAGTTGCCTTAGGGATCCTATAAGAACCCGCTTGATACTAAGGCACTACTAGGCTGGTATTGAAGGTTATATTAGCCAGATGCTTAGATTTTGAACCATCTCAGCTGGTTAAATCCATCTCTTGTTTATTCAACCCTTCCTTGTAGATTTTTCATTTGTCTTTTTGACGTTACGCAGAAACCTGAATCAAAGAATGCTTAGGTTTTTGTTAAGGATATAGAAATAAAAGGTTAATTTATAAAGCCTAATAAACGCTTAACCCTGCGTCATTATAAGTACTCTTGGTGTAGCTACTTGAAATTCCGTTCATGTGTCAAGGAAGTCAGATTAAAACCTGAAGAGCTCATTATCATCAGCCTCTCTGTTTTCTATGCATTAGGACATTGAGACCCAAAAAATCATAGAGGAAATTAGGATGAAAGGTGGGGCTGTGAGCCTTGATATCCTGGCTCCCAACTCTCAGCTCTTTAACACTGTAATGTTAGGGTTCTCTGTGACAAATTGGAAAAATAAACCTTTTTTAGAAGACTCTTTTAAATGAAACAATTTATTCTTTGCTTCAAAAGACCAAAACCAAGTATTTTTATAACTCTTCTGTGATTAGTACATGAGAATGCTTTTTATGTCCATTGAGAATATTAGTACAGCTGTTCTTTCTCAAATGTTTTTTCAACCAGGACACAACAGAAATGTCAACAAAACATAATTTGACCAACTCTTTAGGGATGTCCATAAACTTCAGAGCAAATGCCTGGCACATTAGAGGGTGCTTAGTAAGTGATTGTTAAACAAATGAAGATTTTTAAAGCGTACATTAAAATCTGCATAATCTTCCAAATTATCAGAAAATTTGAGGCATTTTACCTTCTGTATTATGGTTTGTATACTTATATAAGAGAAATTCATTTGCATCTCAGAGGAGTCCAAATTTTTAAGAAATATTACTGCAGAAAATTAATGTTTACTTCAGATAACATTGCATTCTGTCTTTCACATACTGTGAACAAAATGATGAAGCCTGTTATTCAGTCATTTCTTAGTGTTGGTAATTGTGCATTCTCAGCTTACAGTCAAAAGCTTGTAAAGTTGTAATATTCATCGCCAAGACTGCTTTACTTTGGTTAGTCAGTGTCTAAAGGTCAGGAACTTTCTCAGTGCTCACATGTTAGGAGGGTTCTTTATACAGCACACGAAAATCAGCGGTTTAAAAACCTGGATGCTGCAGAGATTTGGAAGGAAGAGAATTCTTTAGTACTGAAGCCTTAAAAGCAAGGAGAGATTTTATTTTGTTAAATAGGCTGATTGCTAAAGAGAATGATAAATGACATTTTTCTATGTAAAGAGTATCTGTGGCTTTTCCACTTCAGGCTGTTAAAAGCTAAAGAGTAAGTAGTCTTCATTTGTCATTTTTCCCTTTCATAGTGAGCATCAGAAGTTAGAAGAAAAAATAGAAAATACAAAAAGAAATCACAGTTTGGCATTAGGGCGACAGAAGGGTTATGAAGAAGAAATTATTCATTTTAAGAAAGAACTTCGAGAACCTCAGTTTCGGGATGCTGAGGAAAAGTACAGAGAAATGATGATTGTTATGAGAACCACAGAGCTTGTGAACAAGGATTTGGACATTTATTATAAGACCCTTGACCAGTAAGTATTGGGCTGGGGGTAATAGTTCCCATTGCAATGATTATCAAGTAGCCTATTTTAGTCATATCTTCCCCCTTTATTATTTTTTAAATATGATACTTCATACATACCAAAGAATGGACAAAATATATGTATGTATGTATACACATACACACACACATGCTTAATTAACTTATAAAGCATAATACTTTAAGGCATACTCATGATACCACCCCCCACACCCAACCCCAAAACTCTGCCATTATCACTAACTGGCATCCACCTGGATGCTCTTCCTGTATCTCGACCCCCTCCCCCAACCACTGACCAGATTTTTGCTTCCTCTGCTTTTTAAAAAAATAATTTTATCATATATATGTTTTTGTGTTTTAGCTTTTAAAAAATGATATTATACCCTGTGTAGTCTTCTAGGATTTGCTTTTTTGTTTTATTTTGTATCGTTTTTACTTATCTGTGTTGCTTGTACCTATAGTTCATTAATTTTCACTGATGTATAAAATTCTGTGTGGGAATATACCAAAATATATCCATTCTCCCATAGATGGACGTGTTAGTTATTTCCATATCTTTACCAATACAAACCTTGCTGCCAGGAATATTTTGTCATATCTTGTGGAGCAAATGTGCAAGAGATTCTCTAGGGTATATATGTAGGAGTGGAATTTCTGGATTGCAGCATATGCTGAGTTTTACAAAATAATATTAAATTATTTTCCAAAGTGGTTTTAATAATTTATATCACTAGCAGTGTATAAGAATTTTGTTTGATGCATCTCTCCATTGTTGGTTTTATCAATTTCTTAATTTTTGCCACTCTGAATGAGTTTAAAATGATAAATCATGTGGTCTTCATTTGCAGTTCCCCGATATCTAATGATATCAAACATCTTTACATGTGTTTATGATCATATTGTTTCCTCTTCTATGAAATGCTTGTTTCTGTCTTTTGTCCACTTTTGTGTTATTGATCTTTTTTTTTTTGATTTATAGTTCTTTATCTCTTCTACACTTCAATTATTTTTCACTATGTGTACTACAAGTGTCTTCTCAAGATTTGTGTTTATCTTCTCTTTTTATATAGTGTCTTTTGATGAACAGATTTGGTTTTAAGGTAGTTAAATTTTTTTATCAAGCTTTTCTGGTTAGCTCCTTTTGTATCTTGTTTAAGAAAACCTTCCATACTACTATATTTTCTTCTAAAAGTTTTAAAGCTTTGCCTTTCACATTTAAGTACATTAAAGTATTTAATTCTGAATTGCATTTTGTGTACAGTGTGATGTAGGAATCCAATTTCAGTTTTTCCCTTGTTGTTGTTGTTAGGTGCCATCAAGTCAGTTCCCACTCATAGCGACCCTGTGTACAACAGAATGAAACACTGCCTGGTCCTGCGCCTTCCTCACTATCATTGTTATGCTTGAGCCCATTGTTGCAACCACTGTGTCAGTCCATCTTGTTGAGGGTCTTCCTCTTTTTCGCTGACCCTCTACTTTACCAAGCATGATGTCCTTTTCCAGGGACTGGGCCCTCCTGATAACATGTCCAAAGTGTGTGAGACAAAGTCTTTCCATCCATGTTTCTAAGGAGCATTCTGGCTATACTTCTTCCAAGACCAATTTGTTCATTCTACAGGCAGTCCACAGTATATTCAGTATTCTTCACCAACACCATAATTCAAAGGCATCAGTTCTTCAGTCTTCTTTATTCATTGTCCAGCTTTCACATGCATATGAGGCTATTGAAAACACCATGGCTTGGACAGCTTGTCTAAGGCAAGGTCATGGAAGCTCCATAGATACATCCAGACTCCCTCAGGGGCTGAATTACTGGGCTCAGGGCTGTGGGGACCATGGTCTTGGGAAACATCTAGCTCAATTGGAATAAGATAGTTTATAAAGAAAATGTTCTACATTCTACTTTGGTGAGTACTATCTGGGGTCTTAAATGCTTTTTACTGGCTATCTAAGATACTCCACTGGTCTCACCCCATCAGGAGCAAGGGAGACTGAAGAAAACCAAAGACACAAGGGAAAAATTAGTCCAGAGGACTAGTAGACCACAATTACCACAGCCCCCACTAGAGTGAGTCCAGCACAACTAGATGGTGCTCAGCTACCACCACTGACTGCTCTGACAGGGATCACAATAGAGGGTCCCAGACAGAACTGGAGAAAAATGTAGAATAAAATTCTAACTCACAAAAAAAGACCAGAGACTGGAGAAACCCTGAGAGTATGGCCCCTGGACACTTCACCTCAGTAATGAAGTCACTCCTGAGGTTCACCCTTCAGCCAAAGATTAGACAGACCCATAAACAAAACAAGACTAAAGGGGCACACGAGCCCAGAGGAAAGGACTAGAAGGCAGGAGGGGACAGGAAAGCTGGTAATTGGGAACCCAAGTTCGAGAAGGGAGAGTGTTGACATGTGGTGGTAAAAAATGTCACGAAACAATACATGTACTAATTGTTTAATGAGAAGCTAATTCTGTAAACCTTCATCTGAAGTAAAATAATAAAAAAAAACACCATGGCTTGTGTCAAGTTCACCTTAGTCCTCAAAGTGACATCTTTGCTTTTCAGTACTTTAAAGAGGTCTTTTAAGCAGATTTGCCCAATGCAACACGTCGTTTGAGTTGACTGTTGCTTCCATGGGTGTTGATTGTGGATCCAAATAAAATTAAATTCTTGACAACTTCAGTCTTTTCTCCGTTTATCATGATGTTGCTTGTTGGTACGTTGTGAGAATTTTTGTTTTCTTTATGTTAAGGTGTAATCCACATAGAAGGTTGTAGTCTTTGAGGTTCATCGATAAGTATGGTGAAAGGATCCAACCCCGACGCACAGCTTTCCTGATTTTAAACCATGCAGGATCCCCTTGTTCTGTTCGAACGACTGCCTCTTGGTCCATGTACAGGTTCTGCATGAGCACAATTAAGTGTTCTGGAATTCCGTTCTTCATAATGTTATCCATAATTTCTTATGATCCATGCAGTCGAATGCCTTTGCATAGTCAATAAAACACAAGAAAACATCTTTCTGGTATTCTCTGCTTTCAGCCAGGATCCATCTGACATCAGCATTGATATCTCTCATTCCACGCCCTCTTCTGAATCCAGCTGGAATTTCTGGCCGTTCCCTGTCGATGTACTGCTGTAACTGCTTTTGAATGATCTTCAGCAAAATTTTACTTGTGTGTGATATTAATGATATTGTTAAATAATACCCACGTTCTGTTGGATTACCTTTCTTTGGAAAGGGCCAAATATGGATCTTTTCCAGTCAGTTGACCAGGTAGCTGTTCTTCCAGATTTCTTGGCATAGACAAGTGAGCACTGCCAGCGCTGCATCCGTTTGTTGAAACATCTCAGTTGGTATTTTGTCAGTTCCTGGAGCATTGTTTTTTTGCCAACGCCTTCAGTGCAGCTTCACTTCTTCCTTCAGTACCATCAGTTCTGGATCATTATGCTACCTTCTGAAATGATTGAACGTCAACCAGTTCTTTTTGGTGCAGTGACTCTGTGTATTCCTTCCATCTTCTTTTGATGCTTCCTGTGCCATTTAATATTTTCACTGTAGAATCCTTCAACATTGCAACTCGAGGCTTGAATTTTCTCTTACAGTTCTTGCAGCTTGACAAATGCAGAGCGTGTTCTTCCCTTTTGGTTTTCTAACTCTAGGTCTTTTCACATTTCATTATAATACTTTGTCTTCACAAGCCACCCTTTGAAATCTGTTCAGCTCCTTTACTTCATCATTTTTTCCTTTTGCTTTAGCTACTGTACATTCAAGAGCAAGTTTCAGAGTCTATTCTGACATCCATTTTGTCTTTTCTTTCGTTCCTATCTTTTTAATGACCCCTTGCTTTCTTGTATGATGTCCTTGATGTCATTCCACAACTCTTGTGGCTTTGGTCATTAGCGTTCAGTGCATCAAATCTATTCTTGAGATGGTCTCTAAATTCAGGTGGGATATACTCAAGGTCGTACTTTGGCTCTCATGGACTTGTTCTGGTTTTCTTCAGCTTCAGCTTGAAACTTGCATATGAGCAGTTAACAGTCTGTTACACAGTTGAACCCTGGCGTTGTTCTGACTGATGATACTGAGCTTTTCCATTATCTCTTTCCACAGTTGTAGTCAGTTTGATTCCTGTGTATTCCGTATGATGAGGTCCATGTGTATAGTTGCCGTTTATGTTGGTGAAAAAAGGTGTTTGCAATGAAGAAGTCATTGGTCTTGCAAAATTCTGACATGAATTCAGTTTCAGTTTTCCCCTTAGAGATAACCAGTTGTCCTGGCACTATTTATTGAGTAGTCTGTCCTTTCCTCAGTGTTCTGCCGTGTCACTTCTGTCATATATCAGAATTCTGTATGTGTATGGGTCAGTTCTGGGTTCTCTGTTCTGTTTCATTGGTCAGTTTGCCTATCTCTATGCCATTACCCATTGTCTTAATTACTGAAGCTTTATATATATTCAGCATATAGCAGATTTTTTTTCAGTCTGATAATCTTTGTCTTTTAACCAGTGAATTCAGTCCTTTATATTGTGATTACTAATACAGTTGGATTTACTTCTGGCATCTTTTTTTCCTCCTTTCCTGCCTTCTGTGGATTTATTTTCTCTTCTTCCTACTTCTTCCTCTCCTTGAGTTGTAAATGATATATACTACTTTAATTATTTGGGTTTTACCCTTAAATTTTTAACATGCACCTCCCCTTTGCCCCCGTTGCCATTGAGTCGATTCTGATTCATAGCAACCCTGTAGGACAGAGTAGAACTGCCCCATAGGGTTTCTAAGGCTGTAACCTTTAAGGAAGCAGACTGCCACATATTTCTCCTGCAGATTAACATACATATTGACTTAAAATAAAATGCATTGATCTCATAGTGGTCCTGGAGCAGCAGTATCAGCATCCCTTGGAACTTGTTAGAAGTGCAAATTCTTGGGTGCCACCCTAGACCTACTGGATCAGAAATTTTGGTAGTAAGGCCCAGCAGTCTGTG